CTGCAAAAATAGAATCATTCATATGGAGTAAAAAGCTGCATGTTTTAAGATAGGGGGAATATATTAACACATTGACAATGACTGTGGTTTATTGTGTTTAAGGTGTGATGTATGTAACAGCATATAGGTTAAGTAAACAGTCTGGTGGCTCATCTCTTTACATAACTGGACATCAAATCAAAGTGGAATTGGCTCATGTGAGGGTAAATAAAAGCGAAATCTTTCTTGTCAGTGCCAGGCAGACATGATATCTGCATGTGCGCAAGCCCAGACTTTCCTACATGTGACCAAGACTCAGTGGCCCCTGGGGATCCTGGAACGTCTCTGTGCTGTTATACAACAATTGTGAGCGAGTAACACATGGCCACAGCCATCTCCCATAACAAGAAGAAAACCAAGGCATTTGCCCTGAAAATCTAACTAAACACACATGATTTGAAGGTTAGATTTTGTGTGCCATGGCCAGTAGTATCACTGTACTGCCCAAACATAATGCAGCCAGTGTCTGGTGGGTCCAGTTTCTCCCACTCCCCCCACTCATGAGCTGTGAGTGGCAGGCCAGCTAACCGGTCTTGACACAGGAGAATCAGCCTGAGTTGAGAGGGAGCAGCCGTGGGAGCAATGCCTGCCTGCCACATTGGAGACATGTCAGCCTTCATTCCAGTTAAAGTCCCAAAACTGTGTTGTACTGTACTGCAACCAAGCTAGGCATTTAAAACATAGAAACAGAATACAGAAAAACAATATGTCTTTGCAGTATGTTGATGTTCTTTAATGCAACCTCTCTTCCAGGCTTTTTGTTGAGCAGAATTAACATTTATGCATTCAGTCATTCATTCAGTTGGACACTCAAGAAGTCCTTGAGCTGCCCAAGTGCTGCCAGAAAAAGGCCACTTTGATGCAACCTGAGGGTAAAAAGGAATTTGAATGATATGCTACTGCCTTAGTTCAGTTATAAGTTATTAATAAGAACAACTTTTGTGTTGCCAGGTCATGAAATACTACATCTCTACACCAGATATTTATCCTCCTGCACCATGACACTTCTTGCCTAATCTTTGTAGCTCATTAATTAATCAGCAAGATCCCTCCAGTTTGACCTCTGACCTTCTGGAAAACTTAGTAACATTGACAACTGCCAACTGGAGATATTATTGTAAACATTTTCAAAATATGAACCTTTATTAGTCATTTTATTAACATTTGTAACTGCAAAATTGATGACTTATTAAAAAGTTTGACCTTAAAGTTAACTATTATTAATGAAGATGAGAAACAACAGCAAAAGTAATTATTGTTAATGACTTTTAACTATAATATTAAACATTAGTAAATGATTCATTAACCATTAATTAAGCAATTAGTTACAATATATAAACTTGACTAGAAAGTGGTACCCCTAACCCTGCACATGCTTTTTACCCTTGCCACTTTCAGAGTCTGTGCACACCACTGGCTAGAGGTTTTCCCAGCATGCACTTGGCAGAAGCTATTGAAGCATCACAGAGAGGTCTTAAATCTATCACAGAGCCTTAGATTCATCTTTGCAAGATTTTTTTTTTCTGGTGCTTTATCATTCATATGGATCTATTAATTGTCTGTCAAACAATAGCACACATGGCAGTCATTTACATGCAGCATGAATGTGGCTCCACAGTTTTACAATCGAGGAAACTGCAGCACTGGGGAAACATTTCTGAACAATGGGAAGAACATTTTGGTTGCCCTCGTTGAAGAGGTTGTGCAGGCTCTGACAACTCTGCTTTTTGTCATTTTGTCAACATTACTGCATTGCAGATTTCCCCTCACATCTCTCTCTTTTTATTTAATTCGTCCCTACAGATAATCCACATTGTTTAACACAACATCATGCTTTAACGGGATTTCAGATGTTTGTTTGTATGTTTGCTTACTCACTTTCAATCAAATAGGCTGTGACTGCCACAACAGCCAACTTGTTTGTTTCTACATGACAATGAGCATGAGGGAGCCTGGATAAAATCCAGAAAGCTGTTTCTAAAAAAAGGAAGGAGTAATTAGTAAATGTCATTTGAGAAGAGTATGGCGAATTAGAAGCCTAGTGGATCATGTAATTAGGACTGGAGCCTTTTCATAGGCAGCTCAGGGAAGGACGAGGACACCACGGCAAGAAAACACCATTTGACACATACACACATTCATACATGCAGAGAAGCACATTACTGCACACATGCACACGAGAATGCAGATCACAATGTCAAACAAGGCTGACAGTGATACATGACTGCTGTAGTTGTTTTGTCTCTTGTTATCTGACCAGATGTCATGAATGTCATATTTGAAAAACCACAATTTAACCATCACTTTTAAGGAAGCTTTGGGTTTACACATGTGGAATGTTTTTAATCTAAGGAAATTCTATGTAATATTTTAATATTATCGAACAAGTTTTTATGTTTGACTGTTTTTTCATGTTTTCTATTTAAAAGTGTGGATTTCCACATGAGCCTTTTATAAAGGTTTAACAATTAGTTAATTAATCAATTAGTGAAATGTATTTTGAGAATTGGCATTTGTCACACAAAATATGCTAAATATTTGATCTCGCTTCTCAAATGTGAGGATTTGCTGCTCTTGTCTGTTTTATATCAGTATAAACTGAGTTTGACATGCAAGCAATTTGAAGACATCTACAGCTCTCTTTTCACAATTGCCCTGCATTTTATAGACTAATTGATTAGTAAATTAATTGAAAAATAATAATAATAATAGTCAATGGTGAAAATAATTGTTTGTTCCATGCACAATACACAAACACGTTTAAATTACATGAATACACTTCAAGGGGGAAAAATTCTTCATGTGAAAAGCTTCTCATAAAAAGAGAAATACACCTTGAGCAGTTGTTATCAACATATCTAAACAACATACATCTTCCCTCCTCACACATTCATTTAAGTGGTAAGCGTTACTTTCAGACACATCATTTTATATTCACTATTCTCAGAATTCACTGATCCACAGAGCTGGATGGACTCAGAAATCCTCGCATTAAGTACAAAAGCCCTGTTGTGTTAGACCTTGGCTCATACAGGGTAGACCAAAAACATAATAAAGTGTTATCAGCCTCTCACATGTGTGTCTATGCAAATCTATTCAAAACATGGCAGCATTTATTACTTAGTCTCAGCACATGTTGCTAACGTTGGATCAGTTTATTGCAGAACAGATGTTCACTCTCATTTCTCAACATCTCAGGCAGGGTCTCACTTTTTTGAGTATCACTCATTGTTTTTTTTTATTTTTTTTATATTTGGTTAATATCTAACTAGTGAGTGACTAATGTGAGTGACGAAGAAAAAGGGGCTTGTTGAGGGAGATGCTGCAGAGCCTGCAGGGATTCATGGCAGAATAGATCAGAGAGAGAGCACAGATAACAACGGAGATGGAGTAATAAATAAATCTCCTCTCTGAGAAGTAGCCGGAGGACTGACAGCAGCAGATTAGAGCCTGTGCCTTTTAAACAAATTGGGTGCTCAAAGAAGCATATTGGCTGTGTGCTCGGGCATGTTTTATAGTGGAGATCTGTTCTGTCAGTTCCCACATGACATCATGGGTGTGTGAGTGTGTGCGTGTGTCTTATTAACTAATTAACCTATTAACTGCTGTCTGTATTGCTTGTATTGCAAAAGCTAAAAAAAAAGTGTCAAGTTTAACAATATATTAAGGGAAGAGGAAGAGGAATGAGATTAAAAATTGCTGAAATAATAATAAATACACCAGGTGACAAAACTTCTATAGAAAAGTCAGTTTTGAAGTGTTCTTGAATGCTATGAAAGGTAAACCATTCTCAAATGTATAAGGGCGGATTTACTATCGGAGATCAATACTTATTATATATAGAAATTATGTATATTCTCATAATAAATAAAACAAATTATTATTTATTTATGTTGTATATAATGTCTCTCAAAGACTTTCAGTGTAATCCATATACAGTATGTGATAGTAAAATGAGCAATGCTATCCTCTAGAGTCTACATCCTACTGCAAGATACCACAGAGCCAATATGGGACAGCAGTTTATTTTCTACTATCTACTTCCTGCCATTGACTGCACTCGTTAAATAGCAGCAACAGCAACAACTGATACAGACAGACAGACCACATGTTAAAGGAAGATGCTACACATTTTAACCTATTTATAAATCACATACAATACTACAATACTACAATACTACAGCTATTCTTAAAGCACACTGTGGTGGTGTGGGTTGTTTTTGTTGTTATAACTATTATTGTTATTACTATTATTTTCACAACTTCCAGGCAACCACACCACCACGCCTTTTTCACTGAAGAAAAGTGTCAAAGTAAGAAAAGCACAGGTGCATAAGAGCACTTTAATAAGATATGATGGCATAACTTGTTGGGAGTAATGTGTTGTGTTCGTAGTTTGGTTTGTAGTAAATGGGCAAAACATGCAAAAAACACCAGTCCTTTATGTTGTTTTTATTTGTCTTTTGTTTTCTGCAGAGGGTATTTCGTCCAGTCCCTGTTGAATGGTGTGTTATTTTAGCATGCAAGTTTATTCCTGGATCTTGGAGGTCACATTGTACTGTAACCTTTAAACTGGGATTAAGTGTTCTTTCAGATATAAATTTCTCCTCTATAGTGCAACTTTTAGTTTTGTATCAACTGCAAACACTCAAAATCTACATGAATTGCTTGCTTTGCCATGAAGAAGAAGATTGGATAACTGGAAAATCAGTAAAAAAAAAAAAAAAGAAGAAGAAGAGGACAGAAATAAGGAGGAAATACATTTATTCAGCAGCCTGCTAAATGGTTGATTTCTCTATAAAACGTCTGTCATTTTCCATTTTCCATTTTCCTTCTAATACTTGATCCAGTAGGCTTGAGAGGAAACTTATGCGGCATCTTGTTGAAACGTCCCTGTCCAAGGTCCTGAAATCTGCTTTCCCAAGCATGCGTCATGTGACTTCAGCACTGCCTAGCTCAGCACCAAGCCTTCTGGTTTCTGGAGATTTCATGTAAGAAAAGGACAAACCCCAAACCCCTTCCCCTCTCATCTTGGGTTGTTTAGACTGTTTTTTTCGCCCCCCCCCCCGTCTTTTTTTTTTCACTCGATCGGATAATGTGGACCTTCAAAGCGCTGGGAGTATGACAAAAGATTTTGGGATGCTGGACTTGTGCTGCTCGTTTTGTTCCTCTCTTTTTACTTAAATGCCAACACGGTGAATGCGTCGGACAGAGTGGACAAGCCTGCTGTTAGAGGTCCGCATACAGAAAGTCAACATCTTGTCTTTTTCTTGATTTTTATTTTTTCTGCCCGAGCGACTTCAGAAGGATGTAACGACCGATCCACCTTGTGCAGCTGAAGTCTCCTCATCAAAATGCAGAAGGGAATACGACTTAATGATGGTCATGTCACCTACCTGGGGCTTTTGGCAAAAAAGGATGGTACGAGACGAGGGTGCTTGAGCAAAAAGAGCTCTGACAACACGAAATGGCACACAAAGTGGTTTGCTTTGCTACAAAATATGCTCTTTTATTTTGAGAACGAGTCCAGCTCTCGACCCTCGGGATTATACCTGTTGGAGGGATGCATATGCGACAGGGCGCCTTCACCGAAACCTTCACAGTCAGCCAAGGAGTGTTTGGAAAAGCAGGTATGGAGAGCGTGCACATGCACACACACACGCACACGCGCACACACACACACACACACACTCACTCACTGCTTTATTGTTTTTCAGGCTTTATGTTAAAATATTGACGAGGTGCAACGCTGAATGTAAAATTTGCTCCTGCGCGAACTCTATTTTAGTCCCCAACCAAGCGCTTTTCTTATGCATATATTCTTCTTACATCCCATCCATCGCATGATGACCTCAAATCCAGCGCAGCAGAATAGCACGAGGTTCCAGATTGCTGTATTGCTCGTTATGTAATCCAGGCATGGCATTAATGATGAGGTAACAATATCAACACCTAATGATATTACAGCAGCCATGGCAATGGGCTATGCAGTGTTTTGCTTTAGGTTGCAGCAAACCCGATCATAATCCCGCTTTTTTTATTATTTTTTATTGGTGGATAGTTTCACTGAGACATAAAATGTAAACGGGTTTCTCTTCTTATCAGGGTGATGCATTTGCATCCTGGTCGGTCACCTATTTTGCTTTTGACTTTCAGTCATCATATTTTTGACGTTTTAGGGCGGAGAGTGATATACCTAATGCTCCTTCCAATAAAACATGCAAAAAAAAGAAGAAAAAAAAAAGTTGTTGCCTCAAGGTTTCCATCTTGTGGTGAAATGATGAAATTACAGTTGAAGCTCAAGAAACAGCAGGGTGCCAGTGATCAGCTCTGTTCTAGATGACCTAAATGAAATTATTCACTGGAGTTTTGCATTATTGATGCGAATTGTTTTATCAGTTCTTACATCTTATACCCTGTTATGGTGTTGTAAAGGGTTTGGATACGTACCTGCAAATGTACGTACTCACTTCATGGTAAAAGATGTCAACTGATTGCTTTTTAAATAAGCAAAACATGACAGTGAAGATTGGAAAGATTATCGAGAAACAGAATGCTTCACTGCCACCGGCACCTCCTCTCCTTTCTCCAGGCTCTGTGCCTGACTCTGTAGGTAGGGCTGCAATCCAAAGTGAGTCCAGGCTCTTCCTGTGAACAGCTGCCTTTGTGCTGACAAAGCAGAATGCAACACACTGGCTAATGTTGTGCTCTCACAGTTGCTTTAACGCCACCCAAAAAACCTCCCTGAAAGATTTGGATTCCTTTTTTTATTTTTGTCAGCAGTGCTGCTTCCTCTGCATTGTGCGGTTTTTAAAGGCATAAATGCGAAACATGCTAAGAAGAGCCTGATCCATAGATCATCTTGGACTGAATTCTTGATAAACCAGAGAGAAGATAGTTGATCCTCTTTGTTTTGTGAATCCTGTTTGCAGAGAGAGAAAGCACTAAGAGGCACACAAATAAGGAATGACTAATGTGACTGATTTGATGGGCTGCTGAAGAGTTATCTCTCAATGTAAACAAACAAACATCCTTAACAAGGACAAACAAGAGTAAGAAAATATCACCTCTATCTCCTATCCCCACCTGGATTTATGGTTTTGTGGCAACGTTTTAGCAATCCACTATAATCCCTACATTATATTTATCCTCAAATGCAGTTAGTGTGAAAATGATAATGCGTTTGAGCCCAAGGTTTCTATGGCAACCCTTATTTGCATCCTAAAGAATGATGCATTCGAAGGAAGCGGGGGTAACAGAGAGGAGAGAAGTAGTGTGTCGCATCTCTCCTATAAATGCGAGCGCTATCTGGGCTAAATTTGTTCCTTGCAGTACCTTGGAGGGGTCAGAGTCCATTTATAGAAAACACAGCTCGCTCACACTGGGAAACAGCAGCACTTCAACCAATAACACAAGAAGCTACGGCAGCAAGAAATGATTGATTTGGTACAAACTGTACAGTAAATAAAAAGACCTGGCCAAAGAAATAACACCCTGCGCTCTTTAGGGTCGGTGATGTTGGTATGGAGAAGGCTAACATCCAAACTAAAGCTCCTCATTAAAATGAAAGTGAGTGCAGGTAGAGTGATTACAAACACTTGGTTCTCTAGGGAATATATTACAGTATAGATCTCATTATGTGATTCAGGGAAGTCCTTTTATAGTATTGCTGCAATAAAAATGGAGCTGTTTATCAGCCAGTAGCAATTATACAAGGCAAATGGATTATTCTACTCATGTAGAAAGAACAATTAATGAAAACATGTTTAATTAATTATTTACACTCATATCCACAGCACAGCAAGACTGACAAGTGTGTTTTGCCCCCACAACAAAAGAAAGAAGCATGTATCATTGATTTAAGAGCAAATAATGGTCATGTAAATAGTTATTATCAATTCTGTGTCAATCTCATACGTCCGTCAAGATCAGTAATGATTTTTAAAGGTGCATGACTCAGCCATACCCATAAAGCAAGAAGCAGACACTGTGCTTAACATTCCCTCACACCAGACATTCTCTTAGAGAAATCATGAGGGAAAACTACAACAACATGCATGCCTCTCTGCCCGAAATAGATTTTCTTTGACGGTAGGATGAATACCTAATGAATGTGAAGATGGAAGAGCAGTCAGCCATGAATAATGATCAGTTGCAGGTTGATAGGCGCCTGTTGAACATCTGCAGGCCAAAGATTACAGTCCGGTCTCCCTCACCGTGAAATGATAACATTTCACTTAAGAGAGTTGTGGTATCGTTTTATCATGGCTCACTTTCTGAAATCTTTGTTATGTTTTAAAGAGAAATATATGCTATGTGTAGCTCTCATCATAAACATGACAAAAACCCAAGAAGGAAAATCTATTAAAGTTTAATTTAAGGGAAAATTTCTTTTGGAAAATTGCGTTCATAAATACAGGCGATGTCTTATTCTTTCCTTGAATGAGGAAATTATTTTTACTGTTATAGTTATTTTTAGCAGTCATTTAGATACTTTCTTGTGGTGTAAACCCTTAAACATCACTATATTTGATATAAAGGAAATGTTTGCTCTTATTACATTTGTCCAAGTACTTAAACCACTAAACATCATTTAACCAGCGATAGTAAAATTATTTTACTAAGTAAAAACAGCAATGCTTGAGTCTTTATATTCAAAATTGTATTTAAAAAAAATACAAAAGTATTATCAACAAAATGGTATTTGGTATCAAAAGTTATCATATATTGTAGATAGATGTTTTAGATGTTTTATAATTTGGTAACCCAAAATGTGTCCTTAAGAATGACCTATGCTCAATTTATGAAGTTAGCCTCAGTAAAATACTTCATTATTATTATTAATAATAATAATAATAATAATAATAATAATAATAATAATAATAATAATAATTTCAGTTGAGCTTCAGTTGCTAGGAAACAGGTATCGCACAGGAACCGAGCTGGGGGAGGCTTCCCTCACTGTGCTCCATCAATTGCACTGGTGGGCGAGGAAGATGTGGCTTCCCCAGGCCCAGTGTGGTTTTAAATCACCCGCTTGATGTCTGCAGCAGCAAAGGCAGCGGAACAAACACAAAGACAAAAGCAATGGAAAAGCTTCAGTTGAGCCACTATATAATAGATTTATCTAGGAGGTATACAATAATGAATGTTCCTTTCTGTGTAGAACATATAACATGTCAGGTTAATGATAGTTCTGTTGTTTCTAACTAGAACCCCACCCCCTCCCCCCTGTTTGTTTCAGTACTATTTCACTGTCAGCTTCACCCATGAAAACCAAAAGGCGCTCGAGTTACGCACAGAGGATGTAAAGGACTGCGATGAATGGGTGGCTGCAATATCACACGCCAGGTAAAGGCACAAGTCAGTGAAATGTGCAGACATGGTAATTCTAAGTTGAATTAGTCAGTAGAGGGTAAGTAATCTTTGACTGCTCAGTCTGTAGGGCATGTTGCATGGTTTCATAAGTGGGGTTAAAATATGAGAAATGACAGAAAAATGCTTTGTTCACAAGAAAAACCTGATTGCTTTGATGTGAGATGAAAATACACACTGATGTTGAATTCATTACTCGAGCTACAATATAAAATCGTGTGTGTGTGTGTGTGTGTGTGTGTTTGTGTTACAGTTACAGAAACTTGGCCAACGAGCATGAGACTCTCATGCAGAAATATCTTCATCTGCTTCAGATTGTGGAGACGGAGAAAACAGTTGCTAAGCAACTTCGACAACAGATAGAAGATGGGGAAATAGAGATTGAAAGGCTTAAGTCAGAGGTAATATTCACTGTGAAGCCTTTACACTGAGGAGAAGAGATGTAAACAAATACAAATAGATTATTTGGATAATATCATAATAATACGCTCTCAACGTATATGAACAGCATTGGAATTTTGCAGTAATATTCGCTACCCTACAATTGACACAATTTGCCACAAAAGTTAGGCGGATCTAAACACACCTTGCTACAGCAGCAGTACCCTTTATTGTGATTCCAATCTTGGCTCATAATCATCAGTATCAAAGTAATCCAGGTGATTGTTATGTATACAGGTTATCAGGAACTGCTCGTAGCCAATCCAGTATGACTTCCCATAATGAAGATCTGCCAAAATGTCTAAAAATGTTAGTTAGATAGTTTAAAGTTTGATACTGAGATATTCAACGAGGTTTATCCTCATCTTTTCATTAGTCCTCACCAGTTTTGTGTATGCATATTTTTGTACAAAAAATAGTACACATACAGATAGTAGCCCTGCATTATTCCCTTACTCTGTTTGGGCCACCTTGACTGAACTGTGTCTTCGGATGTTGGATGTTTTATTCTATTGAGGTCCACAACATGAAAGTGCTGTTAAAATATCCATAATTTTACCTCTCTGGCCAAATCACAATAACCAGGCATTGCAGGATTTTTCATCTATAGACAGATGTGTGGCAGCCATATGCAATATCAGTCAGACCTGCAGTAAATAGACTTGCTGAACAGGCCCAATAGTACTTTTCATCGCACACTCATTCCTTTCCAAAAATTTGTCTGCGTCCCATCTTTGCCTCATCCTGTCAGTACAACAAATAACAGCTGAACCAGTGGGAAAATGATGGATTATGTTGATTATTGTTTGTCCAATGTGAATAAAGTAACGTGAGAGGACAGAAATGGAAGCACTACTCCGTCACAGAGAGAAAGACGTGTTCGGGCAAACCACTTTGCATCTCCTCTTAGAAACAATACCTCCAATAGTGCTGCGTTCCCTGCTGTATTCTGCAGATCAAATAGTCATTTTACTTTAATGTGCAAATGTGATGCTTGAAATCAAATTATGTGCTGAATATGCATGGACACAGCTTTATATTGCATCTCTTCTATGAAATACAATGACAATTAACTCTCTCACCGCCTACAAAGTAAATAGAGACACTTAGCTTCAAACAGTTCAAGGCAACTTCAGTCTGTCTTTTTTTTTAGCAGCCTGTTTACCTCTTGTCGACACGCAGGACAGTTCGGTACATATTGAATCTAAATGACCAATGTAAATAAATTTGATTCAGATATACCAGCTAAGTGAACACAGCTAGTTTAGGCCAATGTCTCAGTGTTTTCAAATCGCTGACAGGTCCTGTTCTGTTGACTTAGTCACTTTGTTTACATGCTAGTACAGTAAGTGAGAAGAAGAGAAGTGTGCGAGTGAGAATGATTGGTCTTTCTTGTGGTTGCTTCCCTGGCAGATTGCTGGGCTGCTCAAAGATAACGAGAAGATTCACGCCAGCCCCGCAGCCGCCCCAACTGACGACGACTCAGAAATCAAGAAAATCAAAAAAGTAAAGCACATGATTTAAAACTGTTGCTACATGTTCAGAGATACCGAGGATAGAGAGATATGACTACAACCTTTAAAATTCCAGGTCCAGAGCTTCCTGCGAGGCTGGATCTGCAGGAGGAAGTGGAAGACAATCATCCAGGATTACATCCGCTCACCACATGCAGAGAGCATGAGGAAGAGGAATCAGGTGGTGTTCAGCATGTTGGACTCAGAGGCCGAGTACGTCCAGCAGCTTCACATCCTGGTGAACAACTTCCTGAGGCCGCTCCGCATGGCAGCCAGCTCCAAGAAACCCCCCATCACCCACGATGATGTTAGCAGCATATTCCTTAACAGGTTGGATCCTCTCGTTCCCACAGAGCATTTCCATTAACTGCCTTACATAACATAATCATCTTAAAGGTCCAGTGTGTAACATTTAGGAGGCTCTATTGGCAGAAATTGAATATAATATGCATAGGTATGTTTTAAGTACTGTAATTAACTGAATATAGGAATCGCTGTTTTTATTACCTTAGAATGAGCCGTTTATATCTACAGATGCTGCGGGTCACCTCTCAAAATCTTGCGGGTCACCTCTCAAAATCTTTCAAAAAAGTTTTTCACTGTAACTGGAAAAACTGATCCGATCAGGCTGATTTTCACCTGCAGGCTCAACTGCGTGGTGTATTTGTTAGTGTTAGTGTGGATTTCACGGCCTGTTCCTGACTTTTGTGTTACAAGAGAAAAGGTCTGTGTTGCGACCGTCCCCTTTCTTCTTCTTCTTTCTGGAAGACTAGACACAGTTTAGTGCATTGCTGCCTTTCACTGTTGTAGTAACGTCAAACTATCCTCCTGCTACTTTTGTCCTGGCCCTAACGACAAGGCGCAGCTCCCAAATGGAGTTTCATTGAAGGTTTTTTCTGTGACTAACTGACCAATGGTCGACTATTAGGAGTCAGCTCTAGTACCTTTATCAAGTCATTTTGAGACCGCAAATGTAATTTTCCTAAAGAGATTAGGTTCACACACATATTTATCGCTTGACTGACAAAACCAACTAATTCCATGTGTCATTATCTTGATACAAATTCTGCTTTTTCTGTTTCGCTTCACGATTGAAACACATTTCTTGACAATTCCTAAAAGAATTATGTCACCATTTAGGAATGTTTAGCACTTCTGTCCATTGTGGTAGATAACAATGGCATACATAAAATTAATCTTAATAATTCAACTTGTACATGGTATACCTCAAAATCTAAGAAACAATGATGTGCTGAATACATTCATGCTCCCGAGAGGATTCCTTCTTTTGTTTGACTGCAGAGTCTTGTGTCTACTCTTACAGGAAGAAAAGCAACAAGGTTGTAACAACTGATGTGTACTGTAACCCTAATATAAACTAAAATTCCTATAATGTAGGAATAAGAATGCATTATTAGTTTCTACAAGCTGTATGCTGTATGTTTGTAGCATCTGGACATACTAGGATGCTCTAATATTAAGTTCAATGTTCCAGATTTACTTTTGTGTCCCTTCAGAAAGATCTTTGCTGGACACACAGTACAACAAAGACAGCAATCTTCATGCACCCTCATTGGCCTATTCAAAATCCACCCACACACTCACCCAAGCACTTTCATGCTCAAAACCTGTGCACCCATCCTCTCATACACTGTCTGATTTTAGGGCTCTGATTTACCACAACTTCTCTAGATGTTGAGAGAATTATTAACACAAACTCTATATTTGTTTGAGAAGATAAAAACTGTTTGATTCATATTTTGTCTCTTCTTTTTTTTTTCAGTGAAACTATCATGTTTCTGCATCAGATATTTTACCAGGGTCTGAAAGCCAGAATAGCAAGCTGGCCAACGTTAGTGCTGGGTAAGAAACATCTCTACTTTATTTGTTTCTTATTTTTTATATTCGACCACTGTTATGCTTGTGTTGACGAATTGTTCCACAAAAGAAGCCCTCGGTATTGTTTGTGTCATTCTGAGAGTATTTTAATACTGATCTTTCTTTAGCCGACTTGTTCGACATCCTGCTGCCCATGCTGAATATCTACCAGGAGTTTGTAAGGAACCACCAGTACAGCCTGCAGATCCTGGCTCACTGCAAGCAGAACCGAGACTTTGACAAGCTTCTGAAACAGTACGAGGCCAAGCCCGACTGTGAGGAGAGGACTCTGGAGACCTTCCTCACCTACCCCATGTTCCAGGTTAGCTTGTTTGTCTCACTGATATACACAAGAAATAAAGGCAGACCCATTTGTTTGCTGCAGAGCTGCAGCCTGGAGCCAGATATTGTCGTTAATTCTGAGCTCTCACAGCCATTCTGGGCCAAGTTCTTCTCTCTATATATAAATGCTACCCTTGGGCCATATAATTCACCAACTTAATACTAGTTTGCTATAGCTATGCCATTGAAACCCAGTTGTAGCTGTCTGTAAAGCAGTTGGCCGCTTTGTTTTCTGGAAAGGCGCTGTCTATGATCCAAATGTAAACAAAAGGTAAGGCCCCTTACCAAAATTCTAAACAAAAACTGCAATTTGATATCACTCCCATAATGAATAACAGGTATTTTTTATCTTTAGTTTTAACTCTTATTCTTGAATATTATTTGTATATTGTTACAGTAATTTATATAGTCACTAGTTTTAGTTTTGAAATCTAAAGCCATTTCTTCCTGCTCTCTTCTAATGTATCTAAAATTGTCACTTTTGTCTTTAGACTTTTGACCTTTCAGTAATTGTAGTCTTTTTGGTCACACTATTGCTATTAAGTTGTTTATCTAAGTTATACATGCAGATGTGATTTGTTGTAAATGTGTCTTGCCTAGATATCCTAACACTGGGCAGCAAATTGCCCACATCTTAACTTCTATTCCATAATTTCCAGATTTTATTAGTTATCATAGACTTATTTCCATTTTTGCAATTAACCTCTTGTGACCTTTTGTTATCGTTGCATCTGTAGCTTCACCTATTGGTGGTAGTTTGCAATAAGTATGATGAAAGGTGGTACCAATGTGTTTTGGTGTACTGCCCAAAATGGCAAATACCAAATAAGATTAAATGCAAACCATGTAACCAAATGTGACAAATTTTTACTCAATTCTAGCCATCATGGCTCAGTCAGGACTTGGCTTCAAGACCCACCTCCTTCTTGAGCACTCATTGTCTCTCCAAGTGATGTCCCATATTGTAGCAGCGCTGATCAAGAACAGAAACAGCAGGCATTTGTCTGCTTTTGCTCAGAATATCCCTGTAGTGTTTTTCATGTCTATAAAAAGCATTTGTTTTTTGAGCTCAGGCTTTATGGCTTCTTTCTGGCGAGGCACACAGTTTCCCGACAGTCCACTCTGCTGGGGCCTACTGAAGGCAGTGCTGCGTTGATAATAAATTTTGCTGATGAGTGTAGATTGTGCTCTCCCCTGATCTACTTCTCATTAGTGTGTGTGCATGTGAATTTTCCTGTGTGTGCATTTTTGTGTTGTTGCTGTTACATTTATGCTCGTATGTAAGCTGTTATATTTGAGCGTGACTCCCCTGTTGCTTTCTGTTCTGTCTCTTTAGATTCCCCGCTACATCCTTACGCTCCACGAACTCCTGGCCCACACACCCCATGAACATATAGAGAGAAACAGTCTGGACTACGCCAAATCTAAGCTGGAGGAGCTTTCCAGGTAATTTTGTATAATAAGGTAAAAGCTAAAGCCAAGACTTGCACACACACAGTATCTCAACTGACTCACTCAACATCACTTTACACAACACATACACAATCAAGGGCCTAGGTTTGGTTTCAGAAGTGGGGAAACATAATAAAGTGTTTTTCAACCAAAAAATGTTATTTCTCTTATTTATATATAGTAGTGGGGAAGACAAATCACAAAATGAACATTTACAGCAAGACTTATTTCTATACTGAATCTTATACAGTCCTATAAAAGTCAAATAAGAATGATGAAATGTCTTTTTCCCTAGAATCATGCATGACGAAGTGAGCGAGACCGAAAACATCAGGAAGAACCTGGCAATAGAGCGCATGATCGTGGAGGGCTGCGAGATTCTCCTCGATACCAGCCAGACATTTGTAAGACAAGGTAAAACCTGCCTTAAAAAGTGTTGTACTTAAGATCCCAACAAGGAAAGGTCCAATTCTGCAGAAAAGCAGCAGAGCAGGATCCTTACCTTTCTGGCAGACTGATCTCACATCTTCAGCACTGTATTGGGGGGACTACTCAGTTTAAAGACCCAGCTCTCCCTCTGGGATAAACATGTGCTCCTTGTGAGGAGAGTCTTTAATTTCCAAGTGTAATTAGGCTGTTCAGAGGCAAACTGATGATGAATCTGGGACTGTAAATGCCACATGTCCCCAACAGGCCTTGATGGATGAGGAAAGGGAAAACAGATACAGAATGAAATGAATCTGTATGTATTCCTATGCAGAGGAAGACAAGACCAGCAATTTGACAATGATTCTCTTTTATTCAGTTTCTCCACTCCTCTTGCTCCTTTTTTCTATTTCCCCCTGTCCCTGCCTCTTTTCCACTTATATATGTATCATTCTCCCTCTCTCTCCCTCCTTCTTCCCTCTATTTGCACACACTCTTTTATTCCCACATACAGGCTCTCTCATCCAGGTGCCGATGAGCGAGAAGGGCAAGATCACCCGTGGGCGACTGGGCTCTCTGTCTCTGAAGAAGGAGGGGGAGAGGCAGTGCTTTCTCTTCTCCAAGCATTTAATCATCTGCACCAGGGGTTCTGGGGGAAAGCTTCATCTCACCAAGGTGGGCCTGCGCTGCTGAGCTAGCAGTGGAGCTGCTCTTTATTTCAGACATCACAGTCGCACCACAAAACCCTGAATCTCTGAGCTAAAACTGAACAGATTAACTGACAGGAGATGGAAGCTACAGGGTTATCGATGTTGTGTCAGTGACCATACCTCACACAGACAGGCTCAATGTACGTGTTTAAAGCAGATGCTTGATATCATTTTGATATGTGTAGTAGTGTAATATTACTCCACACTATTCAACATGGTCTTACATATACTTGAAGTAAAACTATGAGAGATGTTTTAAAGATTTAAAGCAGTTACAAAGCAGCATTTGAAGCCACCTGATGTCCAATATTTACTCTCTTTTAGCTCTGCTTTCTTGTTTCTACCAATTCCTCAGGGAAACAATCTGGCCATTTAGCTGCTAAATGCTCCACTATGTTCACCAGCTAGTAGTTAACTTTGTCTGCCTGCTGTTTGGTGCTATAGTGAGTTTGTAGGGCGTTTTCGCTGAAAACAGCTGCCTGCTGTGGCCAAAAACGATACTAGAGTAGTGACAGTGGACGAAAACAGTAAAGTTGCAAGCCAGACAGATAAACAATAAACCAAAACTCACTATAAAGCTACATAAAGCTACATAAAGCCATACAAGTGTGTTTGTCAATCTATACATAAGGGAAACTGACCATCTTTAAAAGTCTAAAAAAGGTGTAAAATGTTCCCAATCTATTCCATCAGAGGTTAATGTACGTTGACAGTGGAGTTGCTGCTGAGCCTTTTCTACAACCACATCTGTATGTTTGAAAAGCTGAGATAATGTTTAACTGTACTGTAAATCTGCAGCAGCTCATGCAATGTTACTGCATGTTGAGTAAAAGAAGGTCAGTGTGAAGAAACTAAATGTATATTATATGTTGTTTGCAGAATGGAGTAGTCTCGCTTATAGACTGCACTCTTATGGAGGACCCTGAGGGGACAGATGATGAGTGTGAGTGTTTTATTCATATAGTACCCTACATAAATATGCATCATATGTACCACATGCAGTGTTGTATATAATATATGATTACTAAACTGTGCCAGAATTTATTAATATTTTATAATATTTGGAAGAATTGAAAAATAGTATTTCAAAGGCAGGTTGTGCCACTAGAAAGTAATACAGACTCTAAATAAAATTCTGATTATGACTGATTCCCATGTTTTTAAACAATTGTTTTGTATATATGTACATACATATGTATAAACACTTCAAATGTATGCCTTTTTATGTCTTCACTGTTTATGAGTATTAATGTATAGACTATGAATCTAGTTGTCTTTGTGTTCACCTCAAAGCCAAATCAGACAAGAGTGGCCAGGACATGGAGCACCTGGACTTCAAGATTGTTGTGGAGCCAAAGGACAGCCAGTCATTCACAGTCATCCTCGTGGCCTCCTCGAGGCAGGAGAAGTCTGCATGGACCAGTGACATCAGCCAGGCATGTCAACACACATCACAGTCTCTAGCAGTCAAATGTGAAGCCGAGGAAAGCGTGCATATTACAAACGTACTAACATTTCGTCTGTCCTCTCTGTTTACTGCATCTGTCCTACAGTGCATAGATAACATCCGCTGCAATGGGCTGATGATGAACGCCTTTGAAGACAACTCCAAAGTCACAGTGCCACAGATGATCAAGTAAGCCTTATTTATATATATGTGTATATGCAACTCTTTGTGGCTTCTCTCTCTAAGTTTGTTTGTCTCTTTTTCTGAGCAGGTCAGATTCAAGTCTGTACTGCGATGATGTGGACATCCGCTTCAGTAAGATGATGAACTCCTGCAAAGTGCTGCAGATCCGCTACGCCAGTGTTGAGCGCCTGCTGGAGAGACTGACTGACCTCCGGTTCCTCTCCATCGACTTCCTCAACACCTTCCTGCACTCCTATCGTGTGTTCACCACTGCAGATGTCGTGTTAGACAAACTCATCACCATCTACAAGAAGCCCATCAGTGCCATCCCTGCTCGGTGAGTCACATTACATTTGGACATTGCAAGGTTGTTGACAGCATTCACAATAAACAAACAAATCTCATTTAATATGTTTGGCATCCTTCCAGACCATACCATTCTGCATAAAGATGAGATTGATCTAAAATGTTGTGATGCTTTGTTATCCTCTCATCAATGCAAGGCATGTGCAAGAGCCAAGGAGCTTGCAGGTTGAACTTGTAGGTTTAACTGCATCCATATAAATGGTTTCTTTCTGTTTTTACACATACGAATTTATGAAATTGAGTAGTTTCACCTTAGGAATCTTACATAAAGGCAATACATGCTCTTTGGAAGGCAGTTGTATGTAGAGGAGTAAAACAACTTGAGGAGCCAATGACTTTAGGAAAGGAGGTGAAGCAACATCAATATGAATAAAATTTTCTTGTTTTTGAAATGTGGTTTTTGATGTGAGATAGATAGATAGATAG